CTTAATTATCAAGATAAATGAATATAATTTGCATTCCATTATTACTCCTTGAAAACTCCATATTAGACATTTTACCAAATTGTCACCATTTTATAAAAGGTTTCTTTATAACTCCTTTAAGCATTCCATAATTGACCATGAAACTTTATGAAAATAACAAAACATCGTAAGGATAGGGGCATATACCATTATAATAATTTGGAAGAGCTATTCGAACTAAGATAATATCCCACATATTATCCAATTACAATGTGTCATTCCATAAACTTCACATAGACCTAACCAACGAGACAATGTCACATAAAAAAACCACTTAATTTTTTATTTTCTCCCATGAATTAGAGTTTAAGCCAAAATATCATGATAAGCCCTAACCCTTTTCAAATGTCACCCAATTCACATGTGTGAAAAATCTCAAGTGACAAAATAAAAATACTTAAAGTTATAAAAAGAACATTTATAAAAAAAATATTATAACATAATTAAATAAACTACATAATACCACATAAGGACAAGGCCACTATGCCTGACATGGTGATGATGTTAGCAATATGGGGACCTTATGGGGTGTCATGTGACCTCCCTATAGCCACTTGGATGCCAAGTGAACATCCCCAGTAGTCTTTAAGTGGATTTAGACTCAAACATCTTCAAATATAGTATTTTTGGCCCCAAATAAATTTTAAAAAATTCTCAAAAAATATCTAAATGTTTTTTCATTATAAATAAACATTTACTCATCAAAATAAAATAGAAAAATGGATAAATCAAATCCCTAGGAAAAATGAATAAAATAGTTTTGTTGTACAATTGCCATGGTTGATTGGGGACAGAGGAGGCAACAGCCACAGTATGGGCTCAAATCCATATCAATGATCCGGGACCTGCCACAAGATTAATGGTGGATGATCTACCCCATCTTATTACAGCCATCATTCCTCCACTCAAAGTCTATCTTTAAATGGGACATTGAGTGGAGGAATGACGCTGGTATTATCACAAATATAGACTGTCAGTCAATTGTATGTTTTTCCCAGAAAAATTAAAACGCAGGCAAAAAAAAAAAAGTTTGGGGGTGAGAATGAACATGTTCAAGTTTCACTAGATTCACTCAAGGTTTTGAGCCACTCGATTTGAGATTGGCTTGATTAAGGAGAGGCTCGACTCATTTTACGTAAACATGTGCATAAATAAGAGTTCTCAAGGTATATACTAGCATTTCCATAGCGGCAGTTTCGATTCGCAATGGCGGTTCGGATCAGCAATCACCAATCTAAGCCAGGAATCGGATTAGACCGATCTGGTTCATTATCAAGATTGGGAATCAGTCTATCCTTAACGAACCATGAGAATTTGTTAGGAAATTGGGTGATTTGGAATAGATGGATTGCCCGATTCCCACACATTATATATTTATTTTTATAATTTTTGGATTGATTCTTGGAGAAATGGTCCAATTGGCCAATCCAAACCAGATTTTCAAAAGACATGTTACTTCATACTAATCCAGATTTTGAAATATTGACATACACACTATGTTATTATATTTTATTAAGTATATATTTCGATAATATAAACAAGCTCAAGTCGAGCTTATGTCAGCTCCCCCCACCCCACACCTCAGCCATCTAGTTTGGCTTGCTTTGGATTGTAAATGATGCACATATGGGTTTTATTTTTATTTTTATTTTTTTTTGTTATTTTTATCGGAGATTAAAATTTAAGCTTAGAGTTCTTTTGGGTTTCTAACTTTTTCTAGGAGTATTTGTATCATTTTTTAGTAATAGAAATTTGAGGAGTGCAATTGAAACTTTACTTAATGTTTTCTTCTTTTTTGTTAAGATGAAGGGTTGGTTTTTAATTAGGCTTTGTAGGGAACAAATTAGGTCTCAGGGTTGTTTTCTTTTATGAACATGAAACTCTTGTATCAGAAAAAATAAAGTGAAGAGAATAAGAATTTATTTTAGGTCTTGTGAAGAGACATTTTCTTTTTGGGATAGGCTCATTTGCAAATCGTGAGAGAGGGTATAACATCTCATTTAATTGATTGCATAAGAGGGAATAGAACCAATTAGTAAAATAGGACAATAAAATCTACACGATCTATTTAGTTGATTGCAAAAGAGGGAATAAGGATATGAAATGGTATATCTTAGTACAAAAGATGTTGACAACAACCTAAAAGTACTACAAATTTCGACAACCAACTATGAAGAAGAAGATACAATAGTTGCAACATATGAAATACCACCCTTTGAGCTTGAAGGAGAAAACAAGAGTAAATGAGGTATTCTAGAGTTCCAACACAAGTTGGATATCAAGTGTTTGATCAATTGTTCCATTGAAGAAGACAAAGTACCTGGGCAAATGATGGGATTCCATCACTAATTATCAAAAAGGCCTCTAAAGGATATGATGGATTCCAAGAATCTCGAGGTCGACTTCTCCCAATCCCAGGAGAATGATGCAAATAGGATTTTTATTTTTTCTATTTTGTTATTTTTTAGGACATTGAAATTTATGTTTAGAGTTTTTTTCAGTTTTAAATTTTCTTTAGGGGTATTTGTGTCTTTCTTTTGAAGGGTAATATTGAATTTTTTGTTCTTTTTTAAAGAATAAGGGGTGGGAATTTAGTTAGGCTTCTCAATGAAAAAGCTAGGTTTAGGGTTGTTTTTTTTTATAAATATATAGATTGGAAAAAATTGAGTGAAGAGATAAATATTTTATTTTAAATCTTGTGAAAAAGTCTTTTTAGACCCTGAGAGTATATTCTTGAATATACTCTCAAGCCTGGGTCATTACGAGTTGGCTTGAGCCACAAATAGAATTTGTTAACAAAATAATCAATAAGACGGCCAATAGAATATAGGCAAATGGGCCACGATATATACTCTAGCCCAAGTCACACACACAAAGCACAAAGATAACAAAATTGCTTTTTTAGATTTTCTGTTATGACTTGCCATACGTCCTCCTTAGTTGCAATTTGTAGCGCCAACTTATGAAGAAAAATACTTTTTGAGGCAGACGCATCTCACTTGAGAGAGTTCATTTTTGTTAGAGGTACACTTAAAAAGAGTCATATGAGCAACAAAGTTAGAAACTTCACCTCTCACGTCAGGGTCAAACAAAGGCTAGATGCCAAATACCTTGATGATATTCAACACGTGTTTAAAAGATTGGCCGACTAACTCGGGATCGGTCACTAGCCGATCCCGATCTAGCCTGATTCCAACTGTCATGTATGCAGAAATTTCTTTTCAGTGCACTACTAATCGGACTAATCAACACTTATCACCTGATTAGTGCAGTCATCGACGATTTCGTGTAAAAATCAGCCGATAAGTGCATGTCACAATGCGAGTTTGCAAAGTTGTCCTTATAACATTTTTTATATCTTTCTCCTTTTTTTATCTTTTCCCTATTCTTCTATGGACGCGGTTTCTATGTGGCCAACCCACATATTTTAGAAATGCACGCTTGACAATAAATATATATTTTAGATATAATTTGGTCCTAATTTTTAGAGAATATATAATATTTAACATGGAGATCATGAATATGAAAAAATAATAATGATAATTTGAAAACTAGAAATAATAATTATATTAAGAAAACATTTGGACCGTTATTTGCGATTCTTTTTAGATGGACTACCTATTTGCATCCATCTTTAAGATGGATGCTTTATACCTCTGAACAACATATTGTAGAAATGCGGTCCAACCGGCATGAAACAATTTTTCTTCTTCTATTTTTCTACTTAAAACTTTATATATTATTACAAATTTTGTATTTGTTAACTGCAGGGTTTGCCGCCTTGGGCGAGTAGACTCAGACGCACTAGAGTTGGTCAAGCCCGACAAGGTGCCAAGCCCGTAGGTCCCTCAACTCGACAGATATAAAATTTATACATTGTTCATCTGATTTGATCTTCAATCTAATACCTACACCACCAAGCCCCCGATGGCTACATTGACATACATATAGATACATATATGAGAGAGAGAGAGAGGGAAATTTATCGAACTTGTCCCAAAGAGACGTATCTTACCTACATTTTTAATTGAATTCCAAAATACCCAAAAAAAACAAACGTGGTCATGAGTTAAAATATTATAATATTATATTATATACTATATATTATATATTTATATTTATTTTATTAATATAAGTTTATATTCTATAGTATATATTGATTAAATATTATATATAATATATAATATTAATATATTTATTAAGGAATAGAAGTTCTATCCTCCCCTTACCATCCAACCATCCAATTTTGATCAAGAGAACCACTCATCGTTTGATTTTAGATCCGACTTCTCAAAGTTTTTTTTTTTTAGTTTTTTTAATACAAATTATCTGAAAATGAAATTTGCTACATGCCATCTTCTAATTGGGGCGCACCTATAAAAAATATTACCAATAATTTTTCGATAAAAAATAATGACCAAAATACCTCTTGAAAATTTCAAGTATATTTTGGTCATTTTATTTCATTGAAAATATTTTTTTTATATTTTTCGCTAGTGCGTGTTTAATAGAGGCATGGACGTCCAAAATTGATGTCAAAATAGTTTATAGAAAAAAACTTAAAAATAAAATAGTGTAGAGACGTGATATTGTGATTGGGGCAATCTTAGTCCTCTATTCAGAATGGACGGTTGGATAAGAGGAAGTATATAAGTTTTATGTTGTAGGGGAACCATAGAAAGCTTGCCCTACTTATTATATATTGATCACTGAAAAAGTATTGCTTTAGGTGCCTAATAATTTTTTTTGCTTTTTTTATGTGACTAAAACAAAACAATACATGTAAATTTAACATATTTTACAATTTTTTTGAATATTTTTACCAAAATTGCATTTTTCAAATAAAATCGGGGCACTAATCAGCCGATCTAGTGGGAATCGGTCGGACGAATCGGATCAGGACAGGACCGACTAGTCGGCCCGATCTGTTGTTTTGAATAAAAGCCACAACACCTTGATCATAAAGCAACATAATAAGCACAAACTTTTGGCTCAGGAGCCTCTAGATCGATGGAACATACTGTAGACGAAGAGAGTACACTAAAAATGTACAAAAAAAAGTGCATTAGCGGTCCACTTGATACAGACCATGGAAAGGAGATGAATGGCTGTCCACAGAAGGTCCATCATGGCAATATTTGAGGTTCTTCTTCACCCTCGATTGTTTGAACATTTGATAGATACACCACCCATGTACCTTCCAAGATACACATGTTGTACGCCACACACTCTGCCAGGTCGACTCAGTACTACCTTAATCATGGATGACTTGAACAATTTTCTTTCCAACATTGTCGCCGCGAAAGAGCCCCACAAAGGCAGATGGCAAACTCTCCAGGCCTAGTGAGATGTCCTCAAGGACATGTATCTCTCCCTGACGCAAATAATTGGAAGTGTCTTTGATGAATTCAGAGTATGATTGCAAGTAATCTGCTGCAAGGAAACCTTGGATAGTTATACGTTTGTATATTATCGCAAGTGTATCAGGTGCCGCCCTCTTGGTAGAGTCCGTGTACTCTGATATGGCACCACACACACCAATGCGGCCAAACACGTTCATGTTGGCCACAGCTGCCTCTAGCATCTCACCTCCAACGTTGTCGAAGTATATGTCAATTCCATCAGGGAAGTACCTAGCAAGAAGAAAACAAAGACATCACTATCATTTCCATATTTAAATATCTCTCACTATCATTTCCATATTTAAATCTCTCTCTCTCTCTTTGTTGTGTTTGGAAAAAAGAAACGAGTTCATAACACAATATTTATTAGGCAATATCTGGTTTTCTTCTACAGTAGTCATCCAATTATAGTCATACATGTCCATTGAGAATATAATGAGTACTGTTTGAACATGGCAATGGCACCCATACCTAATGTTGGATTGGTAAGCAGGTCCATCTGGACTGTCTATCAATGGAGTCATCATAATCATCATCCAAACCATATCCTAATTATTTGGGGTCAGCTATATGTATCATGTTTCTCCATTCCTCTATCAAGGGTCACACCCTCATTAAGACCAAAAGTCACCAATGGAGTGATGGACCATAATCAGTTTTCGTAAAGGAAAATGAAGATCATCTTAACCACAAATCCCAACATTGAGGAATGTGTAATTGCATAGTCACAGGTGCATGTCACCCTGTCAGATCAGAACTCAGTGCATGTCCAGGAGCGCACGCTTGCATGTGGACTCGTGCCACAATAGAAAGCAAATCATTCATTTCTTTTCTTTCTAGCACTGTGGACTTACCCACCACTATAAATGGTGTTTCCAATGTGGTAGATTGTGGCCTTCGTGTTTTTCTTGCAAAATATGAAAGCTTGCCAAGTTTTTCAAATTTTACTGTTAAACTTGGCAAGTCGATTCGTTTTGGCAATTATTCAGTCCAGCAAGTTCCATTACTAATTTATAGGAAGAGGCAAGATCAACATCCTCTGCAAACACTCTAATGCAAAAGTTCATCAACCTAAGACTTTGTTTTCTAATGTTAGCACAAAGCCAAACCCTATACCAAATGTTTCACTTACACATGCTTTTGGTTTAATGCTTTCGCTTTGCTAACAAAAACACAACTTTGTCAGCCCTTTAGTGTAAATTTCTTTTGGCCATGCTATTATCAAAAAACATATATATCTTTTGGCCATGCTCCCCATCACTAGAAAATAGAGGCCAAATCCTTTAAGGAAGTATCAAGTTTCTCAACCTCCTCATTGGGATCCATGAACTTTTAGCATTGTGATAGTGTTAATCCACATTGGTTGTGCTCCGTCATAACCTATATCTTCTCATGCATAACTTCAATAGCCATATTGGAGGGTCCAAGGATGCTCAAAAATCCAAATAACCAAGTCTACATGTCAAAAAACCAGTCCACAAGGCTCAGAGTTTAAAAAACAATCACAGAAAGAGGATATGATTAAGGTTGATATTTGATAATAACAGTCATTATGCCCTCCAATCATTATAATGGTAATATCCCTAGTGTTATAATGACTTTAATATATTTGTAAGCCTACTGTTTGGATGACAACCTTCCGCTTCACACAGAAATGGACAACATTGAAATACTGGTCCATATATCAAAAAGCTTTCAAGCCCTTTGGTCATTTGAGCATCAGTAGTGGCTCTAATACCCTTAGGCGATGTCTCTAAATTATAGTTGGTAATTTGCTTAGGGTTCTCTCAATGAGGCCCAGTACGTCTGATGTGGACTTCTATTCTCCTTGATACACACCACGCATCGAATATAAAACAAATGGTTCATCCAAAGGTGCTTATCACCTTCGACCTCCAACTTTTACCATAAACAGGCTAACACTAGTGTCAATGCAGAAGTTTGAGTGGTCAAAACTCAAGCCAACACCACTTACTCATCCAAGGAAAACAATCACAGATTTCTATGCCAATTAAACTAACCATCATTCCCAAACCTCACTAGGACCAGCTCTGTGTATTTCGCAAGCATCATTATGCAGGTATGGCTGAAACTAAGTGTAACTAGATTCGGCCTATTCAAGGTCAATGATGCAAGATTCTTTCAAGGATGCAACAAAGAACAAAAGATCAAGGACGCAAGGACAAGGGAAGCCTTACTTGGTCGTTCATACACTATACGCTAAGAAGATTTTAAGCCTGGACACTCGAAAAGGGGCACATGGTAAAGATTTATGTCCCTAACGTATATAGCAGCAACACATTCACAAAGCCAAGGAGGCACAACCACATGTGCTGGACGCTAAATGACAGTGAACCTCAGACCATTGTAAAATCAGTCAGGAGTTACTACTTAAAGAGGCCTACACCCTAGATTGATCAGTCCGTAGGAGACTGTTGAGAAGCTGATTTATTGCATATTCTAGAGATTAGACATAGCCTTTTTTCTTGCCTTCTTGGTACAAAATTTTGCGGCAAAAGGAACCAAGCAGCCTTTACCAGTAAGCAGTTAATTGCTTTCATGGACATTAGAAGGTTTTGATTGTACTTTAGTATTATTGCTTTAACATATTTCAAGGAGTAGGATGCAAGGCTTTAGCTTGCTCAAACATAGAAGGTGCACGTAGAGGCCTGGTTTGATTGAAAAAGACATGTTTCATGTAATAATTTGATATTTTCATGACTAAAATATTTTTCACGCGTCACGACTAATAATTAGATATTTCTTCAACAAAACAAATAGTGTTAGTTGAAAACAAAGTAAATATCTGAGAAAACGACGCAAAAAAACACATAATTTTATATTTCATGGACTTCTGAAAAGATGGAATCAAGTGATAAGGAGAGTGACTTACCGTTTTACTGTTGCTTTTAGATCAGGCTCATCCCTGTAATTGAATGCCTCATCGAAACCAAGCTTATCTTTCAGCAGATCAACCTGCAAATACCTTATGACACATAATAATCTGAACCTTTGCAGTGGCACCGTTGTTTCTTCACTAAGCGAATGGGGGTTGGTACGGAGACCCCGCCCCTTGTATTAATCTCAAAAGGCATTGATTTAAAAAACGGAGGCCGGTCCAGAAGGCCTGGGCGCATCGCCCAAGCCTAGGCCGTAAAACTGAGTTGTCCGTTGGCCGCCTAGGCGGCACAAAACCCACCTAGGTGGCCGCCTAGCGACCAGGGCCTGCGCCCCCCCCATAGATAGAAAAAATGATTTTTTTTTTTTCGTTTTGTTATTTTGAAAGATTTAAAGGTTAAGAATAATGGCTTTTAGGTTCATTTGAACCCTAAACCTACAAGGAGCCCCTTTAGACTAAAAAAAACCTCCCAAAACTATATTTCATTGGATCGATCATCGAATCATCGAAGTGTTTCTCAAAGTTTTGGAGTTCAAGCAACCAAAGTAAGTGCATTTTTTAGATTGCTTGCTTTATTTTGAGATGTCTTCTTCAGGAGTTAGTCGGTGTAGAGATCCGGGTTGGAAATATGGATACAACCCGAATTTGTTAGATAAAATTTTTGTGAAAAAGATACAAAAGGAGGCATAACTAGTTTAAGAAACATCTTGCCGGTATTAAGAGGGACGTTGCCCCTTGTAAAAATGTTCCTGAAGCTGTCAGAGAGGAGATTAAGCAATTTTTAAGTTATGTAAAACAAAAACAAGAACAAAATCCTTGTCATAGATCTATTTCTGCTACTCCTAGAAAAAGTGATCCGGGTTGGAAGTATGGATATAACTCAAAGCCAAATGATAAAAATTGTATAAGGTGTAATTTTTGTGAAAAAGATAACAATGGGGGTATTAGCCGATTCAAAAAACACCTTGCTGGTGTTAGAGGTAATGTTGCTTCCTGTACAAAGGTTCCTAAAGCAGTTCGAGATGAGATTAAACATCTTTTGAATTTTGAAGAACCAAAAAAGGATGAATATAAGCCTTGTTCTATGAAAGTATCTTCTCCAGCTTCTAGTCGTCAGAGTGGTGATCCGAGTTGGAAGTATGGTTATATCACGAATCCAAGTGATAAAAATTGTAATAAATGTAATTATTGTGGAAAGGATACTAATGGGGGCATTTATTGGTTTAAAAAATACCTTGCCGATATTACAGGGGATGTTGCCCGTATAAAAATTCTCCTGACGCTACCAAGGAGGAAAAAGGGTACAACAGCCAAGACTCCTAGGGCCTCATCTGCACAGACTACACATACTAATAAGAGGAAGATAGAAGAAGAGGAGGAGGAAGAGGCAGATTCAGAATAAACAGCGGAGGATGAACGTTATATTGAAGAGGGAGATAACTCTGATGATGATAGCCTCGACTCTGATGCATATGATGAGGTTTGCGCTATTGATATTCTTTTTGATGATGATGATGATTGAAGACTCTTGCCTCTTGGTACTGAGTGTTGAGTGTTGAGTATGTTGACTGTTGTGTTGAGTCTGTTGACTGTTGACTTGTTTTGTTATACTGTATAGTCTAGTGTTGAGTCTGTTGACTGTTGTGTTGACTTTTGTCAGACTGTATATTTTCTAAAGTTCTATGTATTCTGTTGTGTTGGGTGTTGACTTTTATATCACTTGTATGGTTTTACAGTTTACTGTTTTAACAATATGGATTATCAAAATTATCTTCTCGACTTCTTTTTGTTTTTTGTTTTTTTCAAGTTGGATTGTTGGAATATGGTATATTGGGACAATGGGATTTTTATTTTTTTTCAACTGGGCAGCCGCCCAGGTTCTAGGCGTCCGCCTAGGCACTAGGCGGCTTGAACCCCCCAGGCCGCCTAGGACCCGCCTAGCGCTTTTTGATACACTGGTACAAAAGTTCTTGAAACAGTTCGAGATGAGATTAGACATCTTTTGAATTTTGAAGAACCAAAAAAGGATGAAAATAAGCCTTGTTCTATGGAAGTATCTTATCCAGCTTCTAGTCGTCGGAGTGGTGATCCGGGTTGAAAGTATGGTTATATCCCAAATCCAAGTGATAAAAATCGTATTAAATATAATTATTGTGGAAAGGATACTAATAGGGGCATTTATCGGTTTAAAAAACACCTTGTCAGTATTATGGGGGATGTTGCCCCGTGTAAAAATGCTCCCGAGGCTACCAAGAAGGAAATTATACAATATTTGAGTTTAGAGAAGCACAAGAAAAAGGGTACAGCAGCTACGACTCCTAGGGCCTCATCTACACAAACTACACATACTAGTAAGAAGAGGGTAGAAGAAGAAGAGGAGGAGGAAGAGGCAGATTCAGAAGAAACAGAGGAGGATGAACGTTATATTGAATAGGGAGATGACTCTGGTGATGATGGCCTTGACTCTGATGCATATGATGAGGCTTGCGCTATTGATATTCATTCTGATGATGATTGAAGACTCTCACCTCTTGTGCTAAGTGTTGAGTGTTGAGTCTGTTGACTGTTGTGTTGAGTCTGTTGACTGTTGTGTTGAGTCTGTTGACTGTTGACTTGTTTTGTTAGACTGTATAGTCTAGTGTTGAGTCTGTTGACTGTTGTGCTGACTTTTGTTAAACTATATATTTTCTAAATTTCTGTATATTTTTTGTTGTATTGGGTGTTGACTTTTATATCACTTGTATGGTTTTACAGTTTACTGTTTTAACAATATGGATTATCAAAATTCTCTTCTCGACTTCTTATTTTTTTTTTTTTTTTTTCAAGTTGGATTGTTGGAATATGGTATATTGAGACAATGGGATTTTTATTTTTTTTCAACTGGGCAGCCGCCCAGGTTCTGGGGGCCCGCCTAGGCACTAGGCGGCCTGGACCCCCCAGGCCGCCTAAGACCCACCTAGCGCTTTTTGATACACTGCTTGGTCCATTGACGGTCATTACCCATGTGGGCTCACTTGACAGATGCCGCACTACTGTCGGTTGCCTCAATCAGTTTTTCGTAGTTCTGCTGCAATGCAATAGGGATGCTAAATCGCCATGGATATTGCAGCTAAAGTACAGAGGCAATTTGACATCGCGAGAACTCACACTGAAATTCAACCTAGCACCATCCAACCTCAAGCATTACTTATTGATTCTATTAAGCTAGTACAAATCCGAAGGCAAGAAAGTGGATGGGAAAGAAAGAAAGAGAAAGCTTGCTGGCTAGCGATGGGAATAAGAACGGCCAGCAAGCTGGCTAGACTGGCAGAATAAGGTAAGGCTGGCAAGCAAATGGAAGAGGAACTGATCAACAAAGTTGTTGGTTATGAGAGAATCTCCAAGCCATGTGCATTTTGCTTCTCTATGTGTCTTGATGAAGCTTTAAACCGATTAATGCTAAGGAAGGAATTCCAGCACCCACGAAAGGGCAGCACAACAAAGGGGCAAAGGAACTGAAGAGGACTAAGAAGCAGAATGAAAATGGGAAGAAAAAAACAGAGGAAAAGAAGCATGAGACATGAAACGAGTGAAAGGTAGTTTCTCAAGCTCTCAATCTCCAGAGTAATCGACAGCCCTACAAGTTCGGATCCAGGTATTCTATTGGCCAAGTCAAAGCAGAATCCCAATCCAGCAGATTCATTGGAGCATTCAACCAATCTTCAGCTCCAAACAACTTATTGGTTCTTTCGAATTTGGGCTCAGACCCCTTCGTACAGCCCATGGGCCTTCAGTTTGAATTTGAAATACCAAGTCCCAAACGCAGGAATTGATCTCAAGCCCAAAACAATTATAGAATACCAAAAAGGTGTGTCTAAACGTTACAATCACAAACTATAGCGAATGAAGAAACAAATTGTGTCAGGAAATAGCTTTGCTGCACATACTGTAGCTTTTTGAGCATTGTATTGAAGACTCTTGTAAACAGAGAACTCTTAAGAGCTACTTACCCTTTTATTCCTTCTGTATACCCTTTGTACTTATTTCAACATTAATACAATGTAATCAAGCCTCTAGTAACTTAGTGAATGAAAAAAACTTTGCTGCACATTGCAACTTATGAAGAGTATGTTGCATAAACAGCCCCAGAATAGCACAAAATCAGCGGAAATTTAGTATGTCAACCAATAGAATGCTCATGCTTCATATGGATGATACGAGTTTCAACATGGGGAATCTTTTACCAATATAATCCAAATGAAACCACCATGCTTCCAAGCAGAGTATGTTACATAAACAATGCAACCTCAATCAATATGCTATACCAAGATTTAAATAAGATAGCACTAATTGTAGCACCAGACCTGGAGAATGAACATGCCTCGATTTTCAAATGCATGCTGTGAGAGGGATACAAGTAATGCAGAAACATCAAAGTACTGTCCAACATCTAACCAAAAGGAAAGGAGACAGAGACAAAGGAAGAGACAAGAAGAAAGGGAAGGGATACCCTTTTCAGTAGTACTAGCAGAATATGGAGCAAGAAAAAACGCCAGGGACAGTAGCATATCGTAGATCCTCATCAATTAGAGTATGTAGTTGAGCATCACAATTTGAAATCTCATATGGTTGTGTACTCATACTCACAACTAGACAATAAACTATAGACTCATAATCTTGGGCCTAAAGTGTATATTATTCGAGATTAATACATCCGGTGGGTTTCCCTAACACTCTGCATAGTCTAGCAAAAAAAATTATGATAATAGAGGAAGAATCATTAAGCAAACGCTTGGCAATCTCAAATCTGTGTCCGAAAGGCATGTGTCTTCTTGTTCCAAATGCCATAACTAACAAACCTCAAATGATATTAAGAACTAAACCCGTGAATCATTATGCAGTATAGGGTTTTCTTGAAATCTCAGTGTTCAAGAAAACCCTATAATGCTAGAGAAAGGATAATCAAAAGAGAACCTTTCCACTGTGAAAGTTTAGGAACTACAAGAAAACCAAATAATGCTCTCTCTCTCTCTCTCTCTCTCTATATATATATATATATATATATATAGAGAGAGAGAGAGAGAGAGTAGTAGTAGTAAACGTTAAACGTTTACGTACTACTAACGTAACTACTACTAGTAACTAAACTAAACGAAAACGAAAAGTAAAGTACGTACGTAACGAAACGTAAAACTAA